ATAGACAAGGGACTATGAACAGGAGATTCCTGTTATTCTTTCTTACTTTAATTTATAGACATATATTTGGTTTTTTTTATTTATAAACATACACTCAATTTTTTAATATAGTTTTCTAGACAATTTGATGGCTTAGCGTCAAATAGGACAGCCGACCCAGATCATGAATTCTGATAACATTTATACAGTAATTATGTATTCCAAACTAGAGATTAAAGATTGACTTCATATGCATGGGTTTTCAATTCCAGAACAAAATTCCCCCTGAAACACATGAATCTATTACTGTTAGTGCTATTGGCCTTAGTTGTCTTTTTTGTTTGTAGCCATACATTCATTTCTTTTAAATAATTCTCTGGACAATTTTCTAGCTGAGAGTCAGAAAGGACAACTAACACTGATTATGAATTCTTCTAACATTTGCAGAGTAATTATGTATTATTAAGACAAACTATAACTGGCAGTTGAAGATTGACTTCCTATGCATGAATTTTCAACTCCAGGAGAAAATTCCTCCTTGAAATCTATGAATCTCTTATCCTCGGTGCCATTGGTTTTAGATTGCTTGAAGAGAATGTAGGAAATAAGAAGCCATTCAGTGGGCATCTTCTAAACAATGGAAGGAGCAGTTACACTGTGGTGCTTTGCCACAAAAGAGACACCAGCCTCTACGGATGGAGGTGATGCAGTGGGATCACGTACGCTGTGAAAGCCCAGCAGGCACCAGGACAGCCAATGCCACGTGATGTGGTGTAATGATATCTGATACCTTGTCTATTACAATTATTCTCTCTACAAGTTGTAAAAATGGCAGCATTTGTTTTCAAGACAGAACACAACCAAAAGCTACCAGGAGGTACAACCACTAGTCTGGCCTTTGTATCACTAAGAAAAAGTAGTTAATCTTGTTTCCTCCTCTAAAGATACACTGTCAGAGGAAAAAAGTAAAATCTCTACAATGAAAACAAATTTCTCTAATTTCACTGATGTGTATTCCAAATTAGTGCTTCTGACCTTTTCTTAAAACCTTAAGCATCACAAGGAATCCACTGAGAAAGGAATCATGTGCTGTTCAAGTTCTTAAAGAGCAGAAAAACCCACTGAAGTGAAAAGGGATTAGTAAAGGGTAGAGAAGGGGACTAGCCCCTCCCAGCTTGGGTGAGCTGATTTGGGATTAATTATCAGGCAGAAACCCACGTGCAATTAACAGCTCTGACATCAGGGGAAAAGCAAGTATAAAACACTCAGCTCTAAGGGAAGTTTAGCAGAGAAACTCCTCAGGAATTTACGGTACTAGAGAGAAGCTCTATGGTGAGTGGGTGGGCTCCCCTCCACAACTCCATTAACATGGGGGCCTTTAAATCACCTAAATTAACTTGCTGGGAATCTGCTCCCAATTCTTTCAGCTCCATGGTTGAATGTAATTAATGGTGGTGACCTGCTAATAAATGTTCTTGATAAATGATATCCAGGAGAAGTGTGTGTGTGTACACACACACATAAAAGGAAGAAAACTAAATGACTAGGACAGGAAATTTAATTATGTAGTTATTATATACATCAAATTTTTAAAGATAAATTACCATTTTTAGTATTTGTTTGAAATGTCATTTTACAGATATGGATTCCACTTTGAAGGTGAGTTGGGAAGGGCTCCTGCCACTTTTATAAGAGTACCAAAAAAACTTGCATAATTCCATTTTACTTTCTCCTCTTC